GTTGGGTTTAAAAAATAATAACAACCATGTCTATGGAAATTAAGAAATTATTTTCGGCACATTAAATCTTAATCAAATTTGCTTTAAAATGCTTCTTATTTCATCGTTATATCTCAATTCGTTTTTGAGATACGATTTTTTAAAGTGTGTAACAATCAAATATGCTGAGTTGGGTTTAAAAAATAATAACAACCATGTCTATGGAAATTAAGAAATTATTTTCGGCACATTAAATCTTAATCAAATTTACTTTAAAATGCTTTTTATTTCATTGTTATAGTTACGTTTAGAAGTATGATTTCATTGTTAAATTTGTCCATTTTGAGACCCATGCAAGCTGATCTTGTAAGCTCTCGTCGATGTGATTGGCCAGTTTTCAAAGGCTTCTGCATCAGTATCAACTTTGTTTTCTTTGAATCTTAGCCATTCTTGGTTTCAGTTGTCCAAAATTTGACGTTATCTCATCTTTGTTGAATGATTCATCCTTTTTGTTTTGCTAATTGCAGTTCTACCCTGTTTATGTCTTCCAATATTCTGTGGAAGAATTTATCGTAGATACGTATCTCGAGTTTCTTAGTAAGAATCTGATATGCTGCGCTCTAGACATCCTGCAGAAATGGCTGGGTTTTTGGGATCACTTCGTTGAGGGGTCGTTATATATTTGATGTTTTTATATGGATTGGCCACCTTCTACAATAGTCATTGTAATAATTTTGATTTATTTGTGGTGTTTTTAAGCTTTGTCATTAGTTTGATTTTGTTATTAATTCAGTTTGTATTTAATTTAGTTTTTTAGTGAATGCTTAATTATGCTTAAATAATAAAAAAATTAATTATATCATTTTTTTTTAAACTTAGATTGAGACGAAAAAGTTGGACATCAAAGCTAAAAGCAAAGTAAACTCTTTGGATAACGTTAAACACAGACCCGGTGGTGGTGATAAGAAAATTTTCGACGACAAAGAGTATCTTCGCCAAAAATCGGGGACATCCGGCGATCATAACTCCTTGAATGGCTCACAGGTAAGCAGAAGAAGAACCCAACAAGAATTCGTAATCGTTCATTTAGTGCCTATGATTCTTTGGAATAGCAATTCTAGGTCGAGATGTGAAAGACGAGGATAAAATTAATTATTAAAGGGTTCAAAACCTTTACAATTTTTATTAAAGTCGTTTTAATGATTATATTTTTCTAAAAAGGTAAAAATAAAAAATTTTAGGGAATTATTAGATTATTTTTATTTAAAAAGAATTAACTAAAAAAGCATGGTTATTAAACTAATTCGTAACTTTTTCTCTTTGTATTAGGAAATCCCCATAATTTTACCAAAATAAGAATTAAAAAAAATCCTGGATAATAATTATTTATTTGGTACGTTTAGTTTAATTACTAAACTTAAAACTAATACATTAATTACTAATAACTAATTAAATTGTTAACGTATAAATTAATAACAAAGAAATTCTGGGTGAATTAATTTTTTGATTTAAACTGTTTTTGTGATAGAGTTCATTGCCATCACAAGATGCTGCTGAGCCAATTTCAGATGAAAATCTCAACAGAGAGTAGATGCAGAACCACGTCGCTTTAATTTTAGTTCTTTTTTATTAATAAAATATATCAAGCATTGCCGTTTTTTGTGTCTCACCACGATTGTGTAACAAAAATGTTTTTATTTTATTTTGCATGCACCCTAACACGAATATTTGAAACATTTTTTTCTTTTTAAACAATGCATATCGACACTTCTTTAATTTTAGTTTAATTAATAAGTTATTTAAACAATTTTATTATCACCAAAATAAATATAAAATATAATAATCGATTTTTAATTAAATTAATTTCTTCTTTTTTAATAGATATTCGTATTATTTTTGTAATATGAGTTTTCATTGTAAATAGTAGCGTTTTTTACTGGAATTAATCTTTGATGGATTACGTGGACCTTTTTTTAAATACTTAAATAACAAATAGAATGGTATTAAAATATATCTACACTTATCAACAAAAAAAAAAATAAATAAATGTACCATTACAGTTTATAAAATTGCGTAATCTAAATAAATTATACTAAATAGTTATGTTTTCGTAGTTTTTATTCGACACCGAAACAAAAAAATAAATGCACAAACGCAGCAAATAGAAGCACAATTAGCGAGCTTACGTAAGTATCATAACCACTTTATTGCTTTTCAATTCAATAATAATTTAAAATTAACAAATCTTAAACAATTTGAATTATAATCGAATTTTCTTTTCAAATTTTTAGCCTGCGAGTCCTTTGAAGGAATATTATTCCCCAGAAGTGAACATCATCTCACCAACTCAAGACAAAATGACCATCTTACAAACTGTACAAGTTTCGACGAAGAAATTCGATAAAAATCAAGTTAGATCTACACCTCGATTAACGAGAACGCAATCTTTAAGAAATAAAAAATCATCGACTCCCAGAAATAATGAATCATCTTCCAAAATACCGTGGAGGTTTTAATTTCAACAAAACAATAACAAAAATAAATTAGTAGAAATTGTCTTAAAACGTAGGATGGGTTAAAGAATGTATTAGAAATCACAAAATTATCTAAAGTTAATTGTTTGTAGATTAATCATAAAAGGCACGTAAATAAACATAATTTCGAATTTTTTCTTTTTTTATCATTATTCTTTTTTCATCATTATATCTCAATTCGTTCTTGAGATACGATTCTTTAAAGTGTGTATCAATCAAATATGCTGAGTAGGGTTTAAAAAATAATAACAACCATGTTTATGGAAATTAAGAAATTATTTTTGGCACATTAAATCTTAATCAAATTTGCTTTTAAATGCTTTTTATTTCATCGTTATATCTCAATTCGTTCTTGAGATACGATTTCTTAAAGTGTGTAACAATCAAATATGCTGAGTTGGGTTTAAAAAATAATAACAACCATGTCTATGGAAATTAAGAAATTATTTTTGGCACATTAAATCTTAATCAAATTTGCTTTAAAATGCTTCTTATTTCATCGTTATATCTCAATTCGTTTTTGAGATACGATTTTTTAAAGTGTGTAACAATCAAATATGCTGAGTTGGGTTTAAAAAATAATAACAACCATGTCTATGGAAATTAAGAAATTATTTTTGGCACATTAAATCTTAATCAAATTTGCTTTAAAATGCTTCTTATTTCATCGTTATATCTCAATTCGTTTTTGAGATACGATTTTTTAAAGTGTGTAACAATCAAATATGCTGAGTTGGGTTTAAAAAATAATAACAACCATGTCTATGGAAATTAAGAAATTATTTTTGGCACATTAAATCTTAATCAAATTTGCTTTAAAATGCTTCTTATTTCATCGTTATATCTCAATTCGTTTTTGAGATACGATTTTTTAAAGTGTGTAACAATCAAATATGCTGAGTTGGGTTTAAAAAATAATAACAACCATGTCTATGGAAATTAAGAAATTATTTTTGGCACATTAAATCTTAATCAAATTTGCTTTAAAATGCTTCTTATTTCATCGTTATATCTCAATTCGTTTTTGAGATACGATTTTTTAAAGTGTGTAACAATCAAATATGCTGAGTTGGGTTTAAAAAATAATAACAACCATGTCTATGGAAATTAAGAAATTATTTTTGGCACATTAAATCTTAATCAAATTTGCTTTAAAATGCTTCTTATTTCATCGTTATATCTCAATTCGTTTTTGAGATACGATTTTTTAAAGTATGTAACAATCAAATATGCTGAGTTGGGTTTCAAAAATAATAACAACCATGTTTATGGAAATTAAGACATTATTTTCGGGACATTAAATATTAATCAAATTTGCTTTAAAATGCTTCTTATTTCATCATTATATCTCAATTCATTCTTGAGATACGATTTTTTAAAGTGTGTAACAATCAAATATGCTGAGTTGGGTTTAAAAAATAATAACAACCATGTCTATGGAAATTAAGAAATTATTTTCGGCACATTAAATCTTAATCAAATTTGCTTTAAAATGCTTCTTATTTCATCGTTATATCTCAATTCGTTTTTGAGATACGATTTTTTAAAGTGTGTAACAATCAAATATGCTGAGTTGGGTTTAAAAAATAATAACAACCATGTTTATGGAAATTAAGAAATTATTTTCGGCACATTAAATCTTTATCAAATTTGCTTTAAAATGCTTCTTATTTCATCGTTATATCTCAATTCGTTCTTGAGATACGATTTTTTTAAAATATCTTCTTAAAATGTGGAATAGCCAAATATGCTGAGTTGGGTTTAAAATATAATAACAACCATATAATATATATATTATTTAGGTTTAGTAGCAAAATAAAAGCAAAAATTGTTTCATGAATTACAAATACAACTTTATTTTATAATAATAATAATATTATCGTTACAATTTACGCGAAATAGACAACGAGTGGAAGAAAAAAAAAATAGAGAACAAAACTGTTTTAAATATATTACTTTGTAGCTTTTATTAAATAACTTTGGCCTTCAAAATAATTATCTCATCTCATGTAAATATATAACTTTTTTATTCTTACACCTTTTTTAATCCGTTAAAAAAAATATTTCTTTTTATTCCTCTTCTTCCTCCTCCTCCTCTTCCTCTTCTTCCTCCTCTTCTTCTTCATCGTCTTCCTCCTCATCTACTTCAACTTCCTCTTCTTCCTCTTCCTCTTCTGGTTCGGGTTCGATTACAGGTTCCTTGATGTCTTCATCTTCATCAACAGCCTGTTTACCTTCTTCTTCACCTTCAGGTGTTTCTGGGTCACCAGCTTTTTTACCGGGTCTTTCACCAAACCATTTCGGAAGTCTTGCTACAAGATTAATCAAAATTAACTTTTGAAATAAATTTAAAACATTTTAAACATGCCATTAAACAATTTTTGATTTTTTTAAAATGCAGAGTTGAGTTAAAAAAATCGTATCTCCGAGATTTATAGGAATAAAAGAATTTTTTTTTTTGTGTTAAATCTGGATTAAATTTGCTACAAAGTGGCGTTTAAATCATTTTGGTAACTCAATTCGTTTTTGAGATATGATTTTTTAACTTGCATTTTTATCAATTTAACCTCAATAAACGCAGAGTTGATTTAAAAAAATCGTATCTCCGAGATTTATAGGAATGAAGGAATGATTTTTGGTGTGTTCAATCTGGATTAAATTTACTATAATATGGTGTTTAAATCATTTTGATATCTCTATTCGTTCTTAAGATATGGTTTTCTTAAATTGCACTTTTATCAACTTAACCTCAATTACTGCAGAGTTTAATTAAAAAAATCGTATCTCCCAGATTTATGGGAATGAAGGAATGATTTTTGGTGTGTTCAATCTGGATTAAATTTACTATAAAATGGTGTTTAAATCATCTTGATATCTCTATTCGTTCTTGAGATATGATTTTTTTAAATTGTATTTATATAAACTTAACCTCAATAATGGCAGAGTTGAGTTAAAAAAATCGTATCTCCGAGATTTATAGGAATATAAGAATAATTTTTGGTGTGTTAAATCTGGATTAAATTTACTATAAAATAGTGTTTATTTCATGATGATATCTCAATTCGTTCTTGAGATATGATTTTTTTGAATTGCACTTTTATCAATTGAACGTCAATACGTGTAGTGTTGAATTAAAAAAATCGTATCTCCGAGATTTATGGAAATGAAGGAATAATTTTTGGTGTGTTAAATCTGGGTTAAATTTACTATAAAATGGTGTTTAAATCATTTTGATATCTCTATTCGTTCTTGAGATATGATTTTTTTAAGTTGCACTTTTATCAACTGAACCTCAATACGCGCAGAGTTGATTTAAAAAAAATCGTGTCTCCGGGATTTATGGGAATGAAGAAATAATTTTTGGTATGCTAAATCTGGATTAAATTTACTATAAAATGGTGTTTAAATTATCTTGATATCTCTATTCGTTCTTGAGATATGATTTTTTTAAGTTGTATTTATATAAACTTAACCTCAATAATGGCAGAGTTGAGTTAAAAAAATCGTATCTCCGAGATTTATAGAAATAACAGAATTTTTTTGGTATGGTGAATCTGGATTAAATTTGCTTTAAAATAGAATTTAAATCATCTTGATATCTCAATTCGTTCTTGAGATATGATTTTTTTAAATTACACTTTTATCAATTGAACCTCAATACGTGTAGTGTTGAATTAAAAAAATCGTATCTCCGAGATTTATGGAAATGAAGGAATGATTTTTGGTGTGTTCAATCTGGATTAAATTTACTATAAAATGGTGTTTAAATCATCTTGATATCTCTATTCGTTCTTGAGATATGATTTTTTTAAATTACACTTTTATCAATTGAACCTCAATATGTGTAGTGTTGAATTAAAAAAATCGTATCTCCGAGATTTATGGAAATGAAGGAACAATTTTTGGTGTGTTAAATCTGGGTTAAATTTACTATAAAATGGTGTTTAAATTATCTTGATATCTCTATTCGTTCTTAAGATATGATTTTTTTAAGTTGTATTTATATAAACTTAACCTCAATAATGGCAGAGTTGAGTTAAAAAAATCGTATCTCCGAGATTTATAGAAATAGAAGAATTATTTTTGGTGTGTTAAATCTAGATTAAATTTGCTATAAAATGGTGTTTATTTCATGATGATATCTCAATTCGTTCTTGAGATATGATTTTTTTAAGTTGTATTTATATAAACTTAACCTCAATAATCGCAGAGTTGAGTTAAAAAAATCGTATCTCCGAGATTTATGGCAATGAAGGAATAATTTTTGGTGTGTTAAATCTGGATTAAATTTACTATAAAATGGTGTTTAAATTATCTTGATATCTCTATTCGTTCTTAAGATATGATTTTTTTAAGTTGTATTTATATAAACTTAACCTCAATAATCGCAGAGTTGAGTTAAAAAAATCGTATCTCCGAGATTTATAGGAATAGAAGAATAATTTTTGGTGTGTTAAATCTGGATTAAATTTACTATAAAATGGTGTTTATTTCATGATGATAGCTCAATTCATTCTTGAGATATGATTTTTTTAAGTTGCATTTTCATCAACTTAACCTCAATAAACGCAGAGTTGAGTTAAAAAAATCGTATCTCCGAGATTTATAGGAATAGAAGAATAATTTTTGGTGTGTTAAATCTGGATTAAATTTACTATAAAATGGTGTTTATTTCATGATGATAGCTCAATTCATTCTTGAGATATGATTTTTTTAAGTTGCATTTTTATCAATTTAACCTTAATAACCGCAGAGTTGAGTTAAAAAAATCGTATCTCCGAGATTTATACGAATAGAAGAATAATTTTTGGTGTGTTAAATCTGGATTAAATTTACTATAAAATGGTGTTTATTTCATGATGATATCGCAATTCATTCTTGAGATATGATTTTTTAAGTTGCACTTTTATCAACTGAACCTCAATACGCGCAGAGTTGATTTAAAAAAATCGTATCTCCGAAATTTATAGGAATAGAAGAATAATTTTTGGTGTGTTAAATCTGGATTAAATTTACTATAAAATGGTGTTTATTTCATGATGATATCTCAATTCGTTCTTGAGATATGATTTTTTTGATATGTTGGATTAAATTTAAGATATTTTATACATGCTGTTAGAAGATAACAAATTTTTTTTTGAATGTCTTACTTTTTTGTCGGGAGTCAAATTGACCACTCTTTTCCTTCCACGATTTCTCGTTAGTTTCCTTCATCAATTCTTCGAGTCCCTGGTCATGTTACGAAGGAAGTACAAGAAAAACAAACAGAAAAAAACGAGACGTATAAAAAAGACGTAAAACAGAAATAAGAAGAGATATTTTTAAAACTGGGGGAGACTAAACAAAGACGTAGACAAAAACATAATTTTTCTTTGGGGGAATAATTGCGTGCAATTAATAAACAAATTTCAACCCCTTTTTTGATTAAAACTTACACCTCGATCTACTTTCGAATTCTTGTTGTTTCTCCCTCCAGTGTTTTTCATTCATTTCCAATGATAAATGATCAAATCCCTTTAATTTATTAATTACTTTTTTTATCTTTTTTTTTTGTAATATACTTACACCTTCAAAAAGCTTCTTTTTATCATCGTATGACCGTGTATCAACGCGACGTTCATATTTAGAGGCAACTTGAATCTTGGGCTGAATAAAATCATAAATTTTAACAAAATTAATTTCCTTTTCTTATTAAATTATTTACCGGGTATTTTCCGGTTAAAGCTTCTGGGTCGAGACCTTTCTTCAAAGCTTTGTGTCTCAATTGTTGTTTCTGTCTTTCTTTCAATTCTTTAAGCTACAATAAAAGAAAATAATGAGATCAAATTAATACATTTTGGGATAAAAATTGTGTTACATCGTAATCTTGACGTTTTTGCCTTTCTTCCAAATCGTATTTTTCCGTTTCCAATTTAACGATGCAATCCCATAATTCAGTGGCTTTTTGGCGCAACTGCTCAATTCCAAGTCCGTCCAATTTCAACGGCTTAATACGAATGGACAAAGAGATCTTTTTCTCTTCTTCCAATTGCTCCTTAGTTTTGTTTCTTTCCAATTGAGCCGCCGAAAGATTAGACTAAATAAAATAAAACGTTATTTGAGTTTTTAATTTGTTTCATTCTTACTCCAGGATCTCTTTTGGTGATGGTAAAGTTGGGTCCTTTAGATTTAGTTTGGTCTTTCAACGCTTGCATCATCGCTTGGCGTTTCTTTTCGGCTTCCTCCAAACGTTGCCTCTTCTCCTCAATATCGCGTTGTTTCTTCTCTTCAATTTCACGAACACGACGTTCTTCTTCCTGCTTCTTACGCTCAGCCATTTTTTTCTCTTCTTCGGCACGAGTCACCTTGCGCTTGGCTTGTTTCTCCTTCAATTTCTTGAGGTCTTCCTCTTCCTTGGCACGTTGTTTGCGCCATTCCGCGATGTACTCTCTCAGCTGCTCGTCCAAATCAGATCTCTTCTGGTCTTGGCGTTTAATAAACTCCGGATCACCAGCTTGTTCCCTTTATTATAATTCAAACGAAAAGTTAAATAACGAAAACTTTTTAATTAGTTAATGCTGATAAGATTTTGGGTGTTTATTTGGAAATTTTTAATGACTGAAATGATTTTTGTGTGTTTATTTGGCGTGTTTTATTAATTGTTAATTGTGTTAATTATAATATTAATGTTAGATTTAGGAATGAAGGAATCACTTTTGGTATGTTGAATCTGGATTAAATTTGCTTTAAAATGGTGTTTAAATCATCTTGGTATCTCAATTCGTTCTTGAGATATGATTTTTTTAAGTTACACTTTGATGAACTGAACCTCAATAACTGCAGAGTTGATTAAAAAAATCGTATCTCCCAGATTTATAGGAATAGAATAATAATTCTTGGTGTGTCGAATCTAGGTTAAATTTGCTTTAAATTAGTGTATATTTAATGATGATATCTCAATTTGTTCTTGAGATATGATTTTTTTAAGTTACACTTTTATCAACTGAACCTCAATACGCGCAGAGTTGAGTTAAAAAAATTGTATCTCCGAGATTTATGGGAATGAAGGAATCATTTTCGGTGTGTTAAATCTGGATTAAATTTACTATAAAATGGTGTTTAAATCATTTTAATATCTCAATTCGTTCTTGAGATATGATTTCTTTAATTTGGATTTTTATCAACTTAACCTCAACAACCGCAGAGTTGAATTAAAAAAATCGTATCTCCAAGATTAATAGGAATAAAGGAATCATTTTCGGTGTATTAAATCTGGATTAAATTTACTATAAAATGGTGTTTAAATCATTTTAATATCTCAATTCGTTCTTGAGATATGATTTCTTCAATTTGGATTTTTATCAACTTAACCTCAACAACCGCAGAGTTGAATTAAAAAAATCGTATCTCCAAGATTAATAGGAATAAAGGAATCATTTTTGGTGTGTTAAATCTGGATTAAATTTACTATAAAATGGTGTTTAAATCATTTTAATATCTCAATTCGTTCTTGAGATATGATATCTTCAATTTGGATTTTTATCAACTTAACCTCAACAACCGCAGAGTTGAATTAAAAAAATCATATCTCCAAGATTAATAGGAATAAAGGAATCATTTTCGGTGTATTAAATCTGGATTAAATTTACTATAAAATGGTGTTTAAATCATTTTAATATCTCAATTCGTTCTTGAGATATGATTTCTTTAATTTGGATTTTTATCAACTTAACCTCAACAACCGCAGAGTTGAATTAAAAAAATCGTATCTCCAAGATTAATAGGAATAAAGGAATAATTTTTGGAGTGTTAAATCTGGATTAAATTTACTACAAAATGGTGTTTAAATCATCTTGATATCTCAATTACTTTTTGAGATATGATCTTTTTAATTTGACATTTAACTCATTTCGTCATAAATACAGATATACGGAGATGAATTAAAAAAATCATAACGTCGAAATTTGTAGAAATAAAGAAATGTTTTTTTACAAATTAAATCTTAATTTAATTTGCTTTAAATTGGTATATATTTCATGATGATATCTCAATTTGTTCTTGAGATATGATTTTTTTAAGTTACACTTTTGTCAATTGAACCTCAATACGCGCAGAGGTGAGTTAAAAAAATCGTATCTCCGAGATTTATGGAAATGAAGGAATCATTTTTGGTGTGTTAAATCTGGATTAAATTTACTATAAAATGGTGTTTAAATCATTTTAATATCTCAATTCGTTCTTGAGATATGATTTCTTTAATTTAGATTTTTATCAACTTAACCTCAACAACCGCAAAGTTGAATTAAAAAAATCGTATCTCCAAGATTAATAGGAATAAAGGAATAATTTTTGGAGCGTTAAATCTGGATTAAATTTACTACAAAATGGTGTTTAAATCATCTTGATATCTCAATTACTTTTTGAGATATGATTTTTTTAATTTGACATTTAACTCATTTCGTCATAAATACAGATATACGGAGATGAATTAAAAAAATCATAACGACGAAATTAATAGAAATAAAGAAATTGTTTTTTACACATTAAATCTTAATTAAATTTGCTTTAAATTGGTGTATATTTGGTGATGATATCTCAATTTGTTCTTGAGATATGACATTTTTATCAACTTAACCTCAATAACCGTAGTGTTGAATTAAAAAAATCGTACCTCCAAGATTAATATGAATAAAGGAATAATTTTTGGAGTGTTAAATCTGGATTAAATTTACTATAAAATGGTGTTTAAATCATTTTAATATCTCAATTCGTTCTTGAGATATGATTTCTTTAATTTGGATTTTTATCAACTTAACCTCAACAATCGCAGAGTTGAATTAAAAAAATCGTATCTCCAAGATTAATAGGAATAATTTTTGGAGTGTTAAATCTGGATTAAATTTACTACAAAATGGTGTTTAAATCATCTTGATATCTCAATTACTTTTTGAGATATGATTTTTTTAATTTGACATTTAACTCATTTCGTCATAAATACAGATATACGGAGATGAATTAAAAAAATCATAACGACGAAATTAATAGAAATAAAGAAATTGTTTTTTACACATTAAATCTTAATTAAATTTGCTTTAAATTGGTGTATATTTGGTGATGATATCTCAATTTGTTCTTGAGATATGACATTTTTATCAACTTAACCTCAATAACCGTAGTGTTGAATTAAAAAAATCGTACCTCCAAGATTAATATGAATAAAGGAATAATTTTTGGAGTGTTAAATCTGGATTAAATTTACTACAAAATGGTGTTTAAATCATGTTGATATCTCAATTACTATTTGAGATATGACTGGGTGAAATTTTTAATGGCAGTGATGATTTTTGTGTTTTTTTTATGGTGTGTTTTTTAAAGAACAGAGAAAACAACGAGTGTAATAAAAAAGAAAATATGCGGCGCAAAATTATTTTTTAATTCAAATTGAATTCTTTCAAAAAAAACCCTTTAAAAAAATTCAATTTTATTTTGAACGTACTTTTTTAAGCGCATGGTAAAAATTGACGAAAATCATGCAAGTGCAAGGCAAGCAAAAATTAAAATAATTTTTTTTAAGGGGTGTCGTCTCTTTTTGCGCGGTAAAAATAATTAAAAAAAATAATTAACAGGGTGGTTTTCGGGTTGTTTCTGTTTTAATGCGAAAGAGAGAACACTTTGTTTTTATTTATTCGAGGCAATTTTATTTTTGGTAGGCAAAAAAAGTGGTAGGCCGTCGGCGCGTACAAAAATCTATGGTTTTGGACTTACTCTTCTTGGCTTACTACTTTGGTAACGGTGGTCCTGATTCAAGAACACAGTGACAGACAGACAGACAGACATCGGGGGGAGGTGCATTGGGGGTGAGAAAACAGACAAAAACAAACTCATGAGAAAAAAATCGGTTCAAAAAAGATTTCTTTGGACAAAAATTTTAAAAAATCTCTAAATTGGAACAAAGAAAATTACTACTCCAGGCATCGGTGGCTTTCTACTTGATTTTCAACTTATTACTGGCTCGTCTACGTATTTTTTGGATCTAATTTCTTTACATTCTACTTACTTTCTGCAAGAAAAAGAGGCAAGGGTCAAATTTTGGGGATATCTATTTGTTTTAACAAATTAACTTACGTTTCGATGATTTCCTCCTCTTCTTCACTACAATTCGGATTAAGAGAAAGAAAAAAGACATTTAGATTAATTAAATAATTGTATCGGTTAATAATAGCCAAGAAGCTCTGTAAGAGGATGGACATAAATATAAAAAAAATAAAAAAAAAATAAATACAGGGATTTGCAAGCATCAAAATAATAAAAAAAAAAATTAACACAAAATTTGAATACAAGCAGAGAAGTGTTTTTAAAATAAATTATTTGGATCTCCAAGATTTATAGGAGTGAAGAAATCAACTTTGGTATGTTAAATCTAGATTAAATTTACTATAAAATGGTGTTTATTTCATGATGATATCTCAATTCGTTCTTATGATATGATCTTTTTGATTTGCATTTTTATCAACTTAAACTTAATAACTGCAGAGTTGATTCAAAAAATCGTATCTCCGAAATTTATAGGAATATAAGAATAATTTTTGGTGTGCTAAATCTAGATTAAATTTACTATAAAATGGTGTTTAAATCATCATGATATCTAAATTCGTTCTTGAGATATGATTTTTTAAGTTGCATTTTTATCAACTTAACCTCAATAAACGCAGAGTTGATTTAAAAAAATCGTATCTCCGAGATTTATAGGGATACAAGAATAATTTTTGGTATGTTGAATCTAGATTAAATTTACTATAAAATGGTGTTTATTTCATGATGATATCTCAATTCGTTCTTAAGATATGATCTTTTTGATTTGCATTTTTATCAACTTAACCTCAATAATTCCAGAGTTGATTTAAAAAAATCGTATCTCCGTGATTTATAGGAATATAAGAATAATTCTTGGTGTGTTGAATCTAGATTAAATTTACTATAAAATGGTGATTATTGCATGATAATATCTCAATCCGTTCTTGAGATATGATCTCTTTGAGTTACATTTTTATCAACTTTACCTCAATAACTGTAGAATTTAATTAAAAAAATCGTATCTCCCAGATTTATAGGAATAGAATAATAATTTTTGGTGTGTCCAATCTAGATTAAATTTGCCATAAAATGGTCTTTATTGCATGATAATATCTTAATTCGTTCTTGAGATATGATCTTTTTGAGTTACATTTTTATCAACTTAATCTCAATTACTGCAGAGTTTAATTAAAAAAATCGTATCTCCCAAATTTATAGGAATAGAATAATAATTCTTGGTGTGTTGAATCTAGATTAAATTTACTATAAAATGGTGTTTATTTCATAATGATATCTCAATTCGTTCTTGAGATATGATTTTTTTAAGTTGTATTTTTATCAACTTAACCCCAATAACTGCAGAGTTGAGTTAAAAAAATCGTATCTCCAAGATTTATAGGAATATAAGAATAATTTTTGGTGCGTTGAATCTAGATTAAATTTACTATAAAATGCTGTTTAAATCATTTTGATATCTCTATTCGTTCTTAAGATATGATTTTTTTAAGTTGCACTTTTATCAACTGAACCTCAATACGCGTAGAGTTGAATTAAAAACATCGTATCTCCCAGATTTATAGGAATAAGAATAATTTTTGGTGTGCTAAATCTAGATTAAATTTACTATAAAATGGTGTTTAAATCATCATAATATCTAAATTCTTTCTTGAGATATGATTTTTTGAGTTGCACTTTTATCAACTTAACTTTAATAAACGCAGGGTTGAGTTAAAAAAATCGTATCTCCCAGATTTATAGGAATACAATAATAATTCTTGGTGTGTCCAATCTAGATTAAATTTGCTATAAAATGGTCTTTATTGCATGATAATATCTTAATGCGTTCTTGAGATATGATCTTTTTGAGTTGCATTTTTATCAACTTAACCTCAATAACTGCAGAGTTGATTAAAAAAAATCGTATCTTCGAGATTTATAGGAATAGAAGAATAATTTTTGGTGTGTTGAATCTAGATTAAATTTACTATAAAATGGTGTTTAAATCATCATGATATCTAAATTCGTTCTTGAGATATGATTTTTTGAGTTGCATTTTTATCAACTTAACCTCAATAACTGCAGAGTTGATTTAAAAAAATCGTACCTCCGAGATTTATAGGAATAGAATAATAATTCTTGGTGTGTCGAATCTAGATTAAATTTACTATAAAATGGTCTTTATTGCATGATAATATGTCAATTCGTTCTTGAGATATGATCTTTTTAAGTTGCATTTTTATCAACTTAACCTCAATAAACGCAGAGTTGAGTTAAAAAAATCGTATCTCCCAGATTTATAGGAATAGAATAATAATTCTTGGTGTGTCGAATCTAGATTAAATTTACTATAAAATGGTGATTATTGCATGATGATATCTCAATTCATTCTTGAGATATGATCTTTTTGAGTTACATTTTTATCAACTTTACCCCAATAACTGCAGAATTTAATTAAAAAAATCGTATCTCCCAGATTTATAGGAATAGAATAATAATTCTAGGTGTGTCGAATCTAGATTAAATTTGCTATAAAATGGTATTTATTGCATGCTAATATCTTAATTCGTTCTTGAGATATGATCTTTTTGAGTTACATTTTTATCAACTTAATCTCAATTACTGCAGAGTTTAATTAAAAAAATCGTATCTCCCAGATTTATAGGAATAGAATAATAATTCTTGGTGTGTCGAATCTAGATTAAATTTACTATAAAATGGTGATTATTGCATGATGATATCTCAATTCGTTCTTGAGATATGATTTTTTAGGTTGCATTTTTATCAACTTAACCTCAATAACTGCAGAGTTGATTTAAAGAAATCGTATCTTCGAGATTTATAGAAATAGAAGAATAATTTTTGGTGTGTTAAATCTAGATTAAATTTACTATAAATGGTGTTTATTGCATGATGATATCTCAATTCGTTCTTGAGATATGATCTTTTTGAGTTGCATTTTTATCAGCTTAACCTCAATAACTGCAGAGTTGATTTAAAAAAATCGTATCTCCGAGATTTATAGGAATGGAATAATAATTCTTGGTGTGTCGAATCTAGATTAAATTTGCTATAAAATGGTCTTTATTGCATGCTAATATCTTAATTCGTTCTTGAGATATGATCTTTTTGATTTGCATTTTTATCAACTTTACCTCAATAGCTGCAGAGTTGATTTAAAAAAATCGTATCTCCCAGATTTATAGGATTAGAATAATAATTCTTGGTGTGTCGAATCTAGATTAAATTTACTATAAAATGGTGATTATTGCATGATGATATCTCAATTCGTTCTTGAGATATGATTTTTTAAGTTGCATTTTTATCAACTTTACCTCAATAACTGCAGAGTTGAGTTAAAAAAATCGTATCTCCGAGATTTATAGGAATAGAATAATAATTCTTGGTGCGTCGAATCTAGATTAAATTTACTATAAAATGGTGATTATTGCATGATAATATCTCAATTCGTTCTTGAGATATGATCTTTTTGAGTTGCATTTTTATCAACTTTACCTCAATAGCTACAGAGTTGATTTAAAAAAATCGTATCTCCCAGATTTATAGGAATATAAGAATGATTTTTTTTTAAATCATCATGATATCTAAATTTGTTCTTGAGATATGATTTTTTAAGTTAATTTTTATCAACTTAACCTCAATAAACGCAGAGTTGAGTTAAAAAAATCGTATCTCCCAGATTTATAGGAATATAAGAATAATATTTGGTGTGCTAAATCTAGATTAAATTTGCTATAAAATGGTGTTTAAATCATCTTGATATCTAAATTCGTTCTTGAGATATGATTTTTTTTATTACATTTTTATCAACTTAACCTCATTAACTGCATTTGAATTTCTTTGAGTTGCAAAATGTGAAACCTTGAATGCAAGGAGATAACTAGATCCTTATGGGATGAGTGTCCAACAAGATGAAGCAAACTTTTTCAAGGTACCGAAATAGTTTTAAATTTGGGAGTAATTTTTATATAACTTTAATTGACTAATTAAAATGAAGCATTATAATTGATTGAATAATTAATAATAAAAACACTTTTCCTTGCTTGTAGTCAAAATTGAATCGAAATTTTTTACTTACGAGTAAACGTCTTCTTCGTCGGACATTTTTGGAAGGTTTGTAAAAGACTCTGAAATGAATCGTACAAAGTTTTGATCTTGTTTAAAGTCTGTAGCAAGCAATTGTTCTTATATAAAGTTAGCTTGGTATTTTGGACGAGAACCCTAGTGCAGAATTGGAACAAATAACTATGTTATAATTAGATTGGACAACAAACTTAGGGTTGGCATAGATCTTAAATGATTTTATTCAAAGAAAATCTAAGAAATGGAGAAGACTTTTGAATAAACTTTTTCTAAATTTATAAAATGATCTTGATTTAATTATTTCGAAATTTTTTTTGATTGAAAGAAGTCTTTAATGGTGATTATTTGATTATTTGAAAATGATTAGATCTTTTGGTAGGCGTATAAGAGGATCTTGTAACATTATAGGGGGACCCGAGACTCGCGAGCGAGCTGTATTTGGCTACGTACACAGTTAGAGGTTATTCTTGGACACAGTCGGAACGTTTCAGGGTATAAAAATAAAACTGGACGGGAAAACTTTAACCAGAAAAAAATAGTTTTTAGACTAACCAAATAAGAATCTCAAAAAAATTTAATCTAAAAATAAAAATCTGTAATACTAATTATTTTTTTAAGATTTAAACTTAATATATTATGCTTCAGATCATAAATTAACAAACTAAGAAAAAAATTGTAGACTCAAATTTAATTCGTTTAAATTTGGGCAATTAGAATTGATTTAGATGTAAAGTTTTAAATAATCTTATAAACTTACAGGTTAAACGATAGTAAATGAGCGGCCCAGGAGCACCACACAACTCAAGGAGTCCGCAGTGACTGCAGGAACTATCCTACGGGAACCTAGGCCTGGAAAATTCGAGTTTAAAATGTAAGCGCGCGCACCCACGCCAAAAATATGCGCTACATCGTCTTTTCGTCGTTTAAAATTCGCCTATTTACAACCACAAAGCTTCAGGTTACACAAAATCGAAGTATTCCAAGAAAATTTTCAGTTCATAAAAATAAAAAAGTTTAAAACGTAATGTTATCACTATTACTTAATTAAATTTGCATTAAAATGGTTTGCATTTCATGATGGCATCTCAATTCGTTCTTGAGATATTATTGGTATCTCCGAGATTTATAGGAATATAAGTATAATTTTTGGTGTGTTAAATCTGGATTAAATTTACTATAAAGTGGTGTTTAAATCATCTTGATATCTAAATTCGTTCTTGAGATATGATTTTTTTAAATTGTATTTTTATCAACTTAACCTCAATAATCGCAGCGTTGATTTAAAAAAACCGTATCTCAGAGATTTATAGGAATAAAAGAATAATCTTTGGTGTGTTAAATTTGGATTAGATTTACTATAAAATGGTGTTTAAATCATTTTGATATCTCTATTCGTTCTTAAGATATGATTTTTTTAAGTTGCACTTATATCAACTGAACCTCAATACGCGCAGAGTTCAATTAAAAAAATCGTATCTCCGAGATTTATGGGAATGAAGGAATGATTTTTGGTGTGCTAAATCTGGATTAAATTTACTATAAAATGGTGTTTAAATCATCTTGATATCTAAATTCGTTCTTGAGATATGATTTTTTTAATTTGTATTTTTATCAACTTAACCTCAATAATCGCAGAGGTGAATTAAAAAAATTATATCTCAGAGATTTATGCGAATAAAGATATCATTTTTGGTATGTTGAATCTGGATTAAATTTGCTTTAAAATAGAATTTAAATCATCTTGATATCTCAATTCGTTCTTGAGATATGATTTTTTTAAGTTGGTTTTTATAAACTTAACTTCAATAATCGCAGAGTTGAATTAAAAAAATTATATCTCAGAGATTTATGCGAATAAAGATATCATTTTTGGTATGTTGAATCTGGATTAAATTTGCTTTAAAATAGAATTTAAATCATCTTGATATCTCAATTCGTTCTTGAGATATGACTTTTCAACTTGCATATTTATCAATTTAACCTCAATAATTGCAGAGTTGAGTTAAAAAAATCGTATCTCAGAGATTTATAGGAATAAAAGAATAATTTTTGGTGTGTTAAATTTGGATTAAATTTACTATAAAATGGTGTTTAAATCATCTTGATATCTAAATTCGTTCTAGAGATATGATTTTTTTAATTTGATTTTTAAAAACTTAACATCAATAAACGAAGAGTTGAGTTTAAAAAAATCGTATCTCAGAGATTTATAGGAATATAGATATCATTTTTGGTATGTTGAATCTGGATTAAATTTGCTTTAAAATAGAATTTAATTCATCTTGATATCTCAATTCGTTCTTGAGATATGATTTTTTAACTTGCATTTTTATCAATTTAACCTCAATAAACGCAGAGTTGATTTAAAAAAATCGTATCTCAGAGATTTATAGGAATAAAAGAATAATTTTTGGTGTGTTAAATCTGGATTAAATTTACTAAAAAATGGTATTTAAATCATCTTGATATCTAAATTCGTTCTAGAGATATGATTTTTTTAAGTTGTATTTTTATCAATTTAACCTCAATAAACGCAGAGTTGATTTAAAAAAATCGTATCTCAGAGATTTATGCGAATAAAGATATCATTTTTGGCATGTTGAACATGGATTAAATTTGCTTTAAAATAGAATTTAAATCATCTTGATATCTCAATTCGTTCTTGAGATATGATTTTTTTAAGTTGTATTTTTATCAACTTAATCTCAATAATCGCAGAGTTGATTTAAAAAAATCGTATCTCAGATATTTATAGGAATAAAAGAATAATTTTTGGTGTGTTAAATTTGGATTAAATTTACTATAAAATGGTGTTTTAATCATTTTGATATCTAAATTCGTTCTTGAGATATGATTTTTTTAAGTTGTATTTTTATCAACTTAACCTCAATAATCGCAGAGTTGAATAAAAAAAAGGGTATCTCAGAGATTTATGCGAATAAAGATATCATTTTCGGTATGTTGAATATGGATTAAATTTGCTTTAAAATAGAAATTAAATCATCTTGATACCTTAATTCGTTCTTGAGATATGATTTTTTAACTTGCATTTTTATCAATTTAACCTCAATAATCGCAGAGTTGATTTAAAAAAATCGTATCTCAGAGATTTATAGGAATAAAAGAATAATCTTTGGTGTGTTAAATCTGGATTAAATTTACTATAAAATGGTGTTTAAATCATCTTGATATCTAAATTCGTTCTTGAGATATGATTTTTTAACTTGCATTTTTATCAACTTAACCTCAATAAACGCAGAGTTGATTTAAAAAAATCGTATCTCAGAGATTTATAGGAATAAAAGAATAATTTTTGGTGTGTTAAATTTGGATTAAATTTACTATAAAATGGTGTTTAAATCATCTTGATATCTAAATTCGTTCTTGAGATATGATTTTTTTAATTGCATTTTTATCAACTTAACCTCAATAAACGCAGAGTTGATTTAAAAAAATCGTATCTCAGAGATTTATAGGAATAAAAGAATAATTTTTGGTGTGTTAAATTTGGATTAAATTTACTATAAAATGGTGTTTAAATCATCTTGATATCTAAATTCGTTCTTGAGATATGATTTTTTGAGTTGCACTTTTATCAACTTAACCTTAATAACTGCAGAGTTGATTTAAAAAAATCGTATCTCAGAGATTTATAGGAATAAAAGAATAATTTTTGGTGTGTTAAATCTGGATTAAATTTACTATAAAATGGTGTTTAAATCATCTTGATATCTCAATTCGTTCTTGAGATATGATTTTTTTAAGTTGATTTTTATAAACTTAACCTCAATAAACGCAGAGTTGATTTAAAAAAATTGTATCTCAGAGATTTATAGGAATAAAGATATCATTTTTGGTATGTTTAATCTGGATTAAATTTGCTTTAAAATAGAATTTAAATCATCTTGATATCTCAATTCGTTTTTGAGATATGATTTTTTTAAGTTGTATTTTTATCAACATAACCTCAATAAACGCAGAGTTGATTTAAAAAAATTGTATCTCAGAGATTTATGCGAATAAAGATATCATTTTTGGTATGTTGAATCTGGATTAAATTTGCTTTAAAATAGAATTTAAATCATCTTGATATCTCAATTCGTTCTTGAGATATGATTTTTTTAAGTTGTATTTTTATCAACTTAACCTCAATAAACGCAGAGTTGATTTAAAAAAATCGTATCTCAGAGATTTATGCGAATAAAGATATCATTTTTGGTATGTTGAATCTGGATTAAATTTGCTTTAAAATAGAATTTAAATCATCTTGATATCTCAATTCGTTCTTGAGATATGATTTTTTTAAGTTGTATTTTTATCAACTTAACCTCAATAAACGCAGAGTTGATTTAAAAAAATCGTATCTCAGAGATTTATGCGAATAAAGATATCATTTTTGGTATGTTGAATATGGATTAAATTTGCTTTAAAATAGAATTTAAATCATCTTGATATCTCAATTCGTTCTTGAGATATGATTTTTTTAAGTTGTATTTTTATCAACTTAACCTCAATAAACGCAGAGTTGATTTAAAAAAATTGTATCTCAGAGATTTATAGGAATAAAGATATCATTTTTGGTATGTTAAATATAGATTAAATTTGCTTTAAAATAGAATTTAAATCATCTTGATATCTCAATTCGTTCTTGAGATATGACGTTTTAAGTTGCATGTTTATAAACTTAACCTCAATAAACGCAGAGTTGATTTAAAAAAATCGTATCTCAGAGATTTATGGGAATGGAGGAATAATTTTTGGTGTTAAATTTGGATTAAATTTACTATAAAATGGTGTTTAAATCATCTTGATATCCAAGTTCGTTCTTGAGATATGATTTTTTTAAGTTGATTTTTATAAACTTAACCTCAGTGATTGCAGAGTTGAATTAAAAAAATTGTATCTCAGAGATTTATAGGAATAAAGATATCATTTTTGGTATGTTGAATCTGGATTAAATTTGCTTTAAAATAGAATTTAAATCATCTTGATATCTCAATTCGTTTTTGAGATATGATTTTTTAAGTTGCATTTTTTCAACTTTACCTCAATAATTAATATTATATGTTAATTATATATATAATTAGATTAATTATTAGAATTATATAATTATATATTAGAATTTCTTATTTTGTTGTTATCTCGATTTCTTTTTTTAAGTGTCATTGACGTTTTTCGTATTAGTTCTAAAACCTGCCAAATTTGGGTGGCTTCCAAATGTTACAAAACCCACCAGGAGGATATTCTTACCTCGTCCGGCGCCCCTCCATTCTCCAAGTCCGAAAAATCCGATCCAGCACGAAATTCGTCGTGTATTTTTGTGTGCTAGGATCGTTTCGTTCATACAAAACTAGATCTTAGGTGTTAAAAATAACTTCAACCATAAAAAAATATCGTTTAATAAAAAGATTTCAAACCAAAACAATTTCCTTTATCTACTCTTTGACCTAAAAGAATTCCTCGTTGATAAACGTAACCAAGAATGACTTCAAAACAGTTCTCATTTCATTTTTAGAAATGGAAGTCTTGGTAATAACACTCTTTATATTAATAACGTTAATTTATGTTTATTACAAAAATTCTTTTCAATATTGGGATAAAAAAGGGATTACAACCGTTGAGCCAAGTTTTCCGTTTGGAAATTTGGGGAGTGCTTTTTTTGGAAAAGGTTTTGTTTTAAAATTTACATCCCTCTATAAAGAATTAAAAGAAGAAGGTGCTAAATATGGCGGTTTATACGCTGGAACAACCCCGATTTTTCTACCAATCGATCCTGAAATAATCAAAAACATTTTATGCAAAGATTTTCAATACTTCCACAGCAGAGGATCGAGTTTTGACGAAAAAAAGGAACCACTCCAAGCGAATTTATTTAATTTCGAAGGAAAGAAATGGAAAGAATGCCGGATTAAATCAACCCCGACTTTTTCATCGGGAAAAATGAAAATGATGTTTCACACCGTATTGGATTGTGGTAAACAATTAGAGGAATTTCTTCATAGTTGTCATAAACAACAAAAACCGTTGGATATCAAAGAAATTATGGCTTGCTTTACAACCGACGTAATCGGTTCTTGTGCTTTCGGCGTAGAATGCGATAGTTTTAAAAACCCCAATGCCCAATTTCGCAAATATGGCCGCAAAGCTTTAACTCCCAGTTTTAAATTCCAAATGAGAAGAATCTTAACGATGATTTCACCGTTTTTAGTAAAATTCCTCCGAATACATTTCGTCGAAAAAGACGTCGTCGATTTCTTCATCGGTGTCATAAGAGACGTCGTTAATTATCGCTTAACAAAAAATGTAACTCGAAATGATTTCCTCCAAATTCTAATCGACACAGAAAAACAAGAAAATTCAACCTCTACAATCGAACAATTAGCTGCACAAGCTTTCGTTTTTTTCATAGCTGGATTTGAGACATCATCAACTGTGATGACTTTTGCTTTGTATGAATTAGCGCATCACCAAGACATTCAAGATAGACTTCGCAAAGAAATTATTGAGTCCATTCAAAAAAATGGCTCGCTTACATATGAAGGAATCCACGAAATGAAATATTTAGACCAAGTTGTTAATGAGACTATTCGAAAATATCCTACACTTCACACTTTCAAAAGACTTTGCGTCGAAGATTATAAACTTGATAATAACCACATTTTAGAGAAGGGGACGAAAATTTTTATTAGTATTTTAGGGCTTCACCGAGATGAAGAATACTTTCCTAACCCTGACTTATTTAACCCCGAAAGATTTTCGGAGGAAAATAAATCGAAAATTCTTCCTTACACTTATTTACCGTTTGGAGAAGGTCCAAGGAATTGTATTGGACTTAGATTTGGATTGATGCAAACTAAAGTGGGATTATGTATTCTTCTTGGAAATTATAAAATATTTCCGCATCATTCTGTTAAATATCCGATTGAATTTGATAACAAAGCCGCTACTTTAGCTGGAAAAGGAACTATTCTTCTTACAACGGAAAAAATTTAATTACAACTTTTTTTTATTATTTTTATGTTTGTAAAGTGAAATAAAAATGTTTTAGAAATTTGAATTTGTATTTAATGATTGAAAAAGTAAATAAAAAAGGTTTGTTTAAAGTTGTCTAAAATTTAGAATCTATGCAGGCCAAATGTCAAAAAAACTTTTAGAACGAAAGTTGTAGCAAATTTTATTCTTAATAATATTCCTCTCTTGCATTTTTGCTCTCAGATGCATAGATATCAAGAAAAATATGAAAATTTGATGAATTTCGTTGTTTTACTAGTCAATAGTGACATGCAGGAATCGGAGCATGTTATAAAAAAACTTTTAGAATAAAAGTTATGGCAAATTGTATTCTTAACAATATTGCTTTCTTGCACTTTTGCTCTCAGATGCGTAGATATCGAGAAAAATACGAAAATATGAAAATTTTATGAATTTAGTTGTTTTATTGGTTGTCAATGTGACACTCGGGAATCGAAGCATGTTATAAAAAAACTTTTAGAACAAAAGTTGTGGCAAATTTGATTGTTAACAATATTGCTTTCTTGCACTTTTGCTCTCAGATGCATACATATCAAGAAAAATATGAAAATTTGATGAATTTCGTTGTTTTACTAGTCAATAGTGACATGCAGGAATCGGAGCATGTTATAAAAAAACTTTTAGAATAAAAGTTATGGCAAATTGTATTCTTAACAATATTGCTTTCTTGCACTTTTGCTCTCAGATGCGTAGATATCGAGAAAAATACGAAAATATGAAAATTTTATGAATTTAGTTGTTTTATTGGTTGTCAATGTAACACTCGGGAATCGAAGCATGTTATAAAAAAACTTTTAGAACAAAAGTTGTGGCAAATTTGATTGTTAACAATATTGCTTTCTTGCACTTTTGCTCTCAGATGCATACATATCAAGAAAAATATGAAAATTTGATGAATTTCGTTGTTTTACTAGTCAATAGTGACATGCAGGAATCGGAGCATGTTATAAAAAAACTTTTAGAACAAAAGTTGTAGCAAATTTTATTCTTAACAATATTGCTCTCTTGCACTTTTGCTCTTACATGCGTCAATATCAAGAAAAATACGAGTATATCAAAACTGGACGAATTTGTTGCTTTTGCAAGTACTTAATGGTAACACTTGGGAAACGGAGCATGTTATAAAAAAACTTTTAGAACAAAAGTTGTAGCAAATTTTATTCTTAACAATATTGCTCTCTTGCACTTTTGCTCTCAGATGCATACATATCAAGAAAAATATGAAAATTTTATGAATTTCGTTGTTTTACTAGTCAATAGTGACATTCAGGAATCGGAGCATGTTATAAAAAAACTTTTAGAACAAAAGTTGTGGCAAATTTTATTCTTAACAATATTGCTCTCTTGCACTTTTGCTCTCAGATGCATACATATCAAGAAAAATATGAAAATTTTATGAATTTCGTTGTTTTACTAGTCAATAGTGACATGCAGGAATCGGAGCATGTTATAAAAAAACTTTTAGAACAAAAGTTGTGGCAAATTTTATTCTTAACAATATTGCTCTCTTACACTTTTGCTCTCAGATGCATAGATATCAAGAAAAATATGAAAATTTTATGAATTTCGTTGTTTTACTAGTCAATAGTGACATGCAGGAATCGGAGCATGTTATAAAAAAACTTTTAGAACAAAAACTGTAGCAAATTTTATTCTTAACAATATTGCTCTTTTACACTTTTGCTCTCAGATGCATAGATATCAAAAAAAATACGAAAATATCATGAATTTCGTTGTTTTACTAGTGGTCAATAGTGACACTCGGGAATCGGAGTATGTTATAAAAAAACTTTTAGAACAAAAGCTGTGGCAAATTTTATTCCTAACAATATCGCTCTCTTACACTTTTGCTCTCAGATGCATACATATCATGAAAAATATGAAAATTTTATGAATTTCGTTGTTTTACTAGTCAATAGTGACATGCAGGAATCAGAGCATGTTATAAAAAAATTTTTAGAACATAAGTTGTGGTAAATTTTATTCTTAACAATATTGCTCTCTTGCACTTTTGCTCTCAGATGCATAGATATCAAGAAAAATATGAAAATTTTATGAATTTCGTTGTTTTACTAGTCAATAGTGACATGCAGGAATCGGAGCATGTTATAAAAAAACTTTTAGAACAAAAGTTGTGGCAAATTTTATTCTTAACAATATTGCTCTCTTGCACTTTTTCTCTCAGATGCGTAGATATCAAGAAAAATACGAAAATTTGATGAATTTCGTTGTTTTACTAGTGGTCAATAGTGACATTCGGGAATCGGAGCATGTTATAAAAAAACTTTTAGAACAAAATCTGTGGCAAATTTTATTCTTAACAATATTGCTCTCTTGCACTTTTGCTCTCAGATGCATACATATCAAGAAAAATATGAAAATTTTATGAATTTCGTTGTTTTACTGGTCAATAGTGACATGCAGGAATCGGAGTATGTTATAAAAAAACTTTTAGAACATAAGTTGTGGCAAATTTTATTCTTAACAATATTGCTCTCTTGCGCTTTTGCTCTCAGATGCATAGATATCAAGAAAAATATGAAAATTTTATGAATTTCGTTGTTTTACTAGTCAATAGTGACATACAGGAATGGGAGCATGTTATAAAAAAACTTTTAGAACAAAAACTGTAGCAAATTTTATTCTTAACAATATTGCTCTTTTACACTTTTGCTCTCAGATGCATAGATATCAAGAAAAATACGAAAATATCATGAATTTCGTTGTTTTACTAGTGGTCAATAGTGACACTCGGGAATCGGAGTATGTTATAAAAAAACTTTTAGAACATAAGTTGTGGCAAATTTTATTCTTAACAATATTGCTCTCTTGCACTTTTGCTCTCAGATGCATAGATATCAAGAAAAATACGAAAATATGGAAATTTGATGAATTTCATTGTTTTACTAGTGGTCAATAGTGACACTAGGGAATCGAAGCATGTTACAAAAAAACTTTTAAAACAGAAATTGTGGCAAATTTTATTCTTAACAATATTGCTCTCTTGCACTTTTGCTCTCAGATGCATAGATATCAAGAAAAATACGAGAATTTCATGAATTACGTTGTTTTACTAGTTGTCAATAGTGACACTCAGGAATTGGAACATGTTATAAAAAAGCTGTTACAACAGAAATTGTGGCAAATTTTATTCTTAACAATATTGCTCTCTTGCACTTTTGCTCTCAGATGCGTAGATATCGAGAAAATGCAAAAATAACAAAATTTTATCAATTTGTTGAGTTGATAATGAGAAACGGACAAAAAAACTTTTGAAACGAAAGTTGTAGCAAATTTAATTCTTAACAACATTGCTCTCAGATGCGTAAATAATAATCGACGTTTTGATAATCGGTAGATTAAGCCATAGAAAAGCAAGAAATCTCACCCAACCCAACAGCAAAGCTTTTATTTCCACAAGAGATGTTGGTATGTTCCCCTCAGAAAGTGTTCCATGCTTTGGATTACATCGTCCAACAGAAATCTACACAAGCAGTGCGTTTTAGGTAACCCATAATAAGTGCAAGGGAGTCATAGACCACCAAAGAGGCTGATCAATTTTGAGATAAGATGGATTTTGATTAATTTCTAGGTCATAAAATGAACGATATTTCCATATATAGCGAAGGTCGCTTGCGGATGAGGCATTAGCTTGGATGCCAAACACCCAGCCTTGTATTGAAACTGAGCCATACATTTTATATACATTCAAGAACAAATATTTAATTTTGCCTGATTTATAGATTGTAGGACACTTATATCAGAAAAGAAATGCATTTCCAGCTCTAATTCAATATATCTCTTAACATTGTACTAACTATTCTTAACCATTCCTCAAAGAAAGAGGTTATGAATGCAGAATTGTTAAGAAAGTAGTCTGCTTTATAACCAGTTCTTTGAGTTCTAAGTAAAAAGAAAATAAAAGATAAAATAAACTTAAGAAACTATTTTTTTATTAAACTCATAGATATTTTTAATAACCTTACAAGACATATTACACCTTAATACATTTTTTCTTAATTAAATAGCTTTAATTTGTCCCTTTTGCGAGGAATTAATTTTATCCCCAAGACTCAAAGCCATCCCCTAAAACCAAAAAAAATTATTAAATTCTTTTAAAAATTCTTTTATTCAAAACTTACTTGACTTTTCGCTCTAACTCTAACATGTCCAGTAACGGGTGCTTCAGGCTTATTAAAACTTTTCTCAATACACAAATTCGCCAAAGCATCCTCCCCAAAAATCGATTTAGCATACATGTTGGCAGCCATAAAACCGCATTCCCCAGATAACGCCTTTTCCGGCGTCAAACATTTCATATTCGTCCACTTCAAAAGGTGTTTAAGATAATCCGCAAGTTCCGTTAAAGTCGTGTTAACGGTAACTTTATTCTCCCATTCAAATTCGGCCCACATCCTTCTAAACTCGATATCGTTACAACTCGCCGGTACGATATAATCCATAATATCGACGTGAATATCGTTCAAAACAACCACGTTTCGATCTGAAGCCGCCCCGGTAACATCATAAACAATATTCCCAAAAATAATTCCGTTTTCTGTTGATGCAACTTTTATGTTCGCTTTGATGTTGCAAAAATCGTTCGGTGCTAACACCACGGGTTGTGGTTTTTCAACTAATTTTAAATCACCTAAAGTTGCGATTTCTAACGTACAATTTTGTAAGGTGTCGCTCGTTTGATTTACTATTAGTACGTCTAAAACGATGTCGTATTGGTTAACGTTGACGTAAGCTTCGGCGTAAACCGGATCAGAAAACCCGGTTAATTGAGTGACGTTATTTAGCTTATTAATTTGGGTCGTTTCACCACTTCCGGTTCGGCCCCCAATTACAGCTTGAGATAAAGCGGTTTCAAATACGTTCTCCCCCATTTCGCCGGATTTATCGGCTTGGAGTTGCATAAACATGATTGGATCGTCCGCTTGGATTTTGCAACTCGGTTTTTCTTTCATTTTTTGTATGTTGGCTTCTTCGAGTTCGTTCGCGACTAACATATCGTTTAATGCTCGCCTACAATTTACGTTAAATATCTCGATAATCATCGGGGTGCGTTCGGAGAGGACTTTAATACAAAATAAAAGGTGATCTGCGTCGTCGTTGGTGATCGATTTGGTGGGTAAGCCCGATTTTCCTAAATGAACGATGCTTGAGATGATTAACATTACTTCTGCGTCGAATAAATTCCGTTTTGATTTGGTGACTTTTTCGCCGTATCGAAGCGCGAGCTTTGTTAGTGTTGTACCTAAAGAGGCGCCGATGAAAAATTCGCCGTCCATCATGTATTGCCTTAAAGGGGGGCGTTTTTCTTTTTTTTGGTTGGGGGTGGTGTTAAAGACTGATTGGGTTGCGTAAGTTCCGTCGGATGTAACTAAAGTGGTTGTTTGAGGGGTGTTTTGAACGGGATTTTCGTCGGTGTTTTCTCCCGCTAATAATTTTTGTTCGATTTCGAGTAAAACCCCTTCCCCTAAGGTTTGATTAATCTGTTTTAGGACTGCCTCAATATCCGAAACGTTCACCGCGTACTCCCCCAAAATCCAAAGCGCGGCCCTATGCACCTTAACCGATTTTATATCAGGGAATGTCTCCAATAATTTCTCAATAATTAGCGGTTGGAGGTGATCAAATTTTTGAACGGCTTCTCGCACAAATAACAAAACGTCAGTTGCGGCTAATTCGTTTGTATCGGATAAAAACTCCATTAAAACCGGAATTACGGAACTTGCAACATCCGGAAATTTAATGCTGCAAGAATGTAGTGTTTTAACGAGTAATTGCCGATATTTTCCGGTATCCTCGTGCTCAACATCGTGAGTTTTTGCCACCTCCTTCTTTAAAACCAAAACCATCTCCTCAATATTCCGCGAAGAAACCAAATCGAGCGCCAAAGCGAGCGTTTTTTTCCTAACCTCCAAATCGGGGCTGCTTAAAACGCGCAAAATATCCATAACCAATTCTTGCAAGACTTTCTCATGCACCGGGTGCTCTTTCAAAGCAATCAACCGATCCAAAACGATCAATTTCACGTTATTATCACTCTCTTTAACAATCAACTCAATATAACAACTAGCCGCCGCTCGAATCGCCGTTGGGGCATTCGATAAAGTAACCAAAGTCCCAGCAGCTTCATACCGAACCGCGGGGCTACTCGAATTCAACAGGTTATAAATACAACGAATAAATCGCGACCTCTCAGACGGATTAGCATGACAAACTTTGTAAATCAACTCAACAATAACTAATTGTAAAATATCGCCGAATGATGTAACCTGGTCTAAACAAGAAGCTAAATAAGACAAAGCGCGTTCTTGGTCCGCGTGCAACAACATTAAAAACGCGTTTCTTTTACACGACATATCTTGCTCGCCGTCTAAAAAATTGGCGATTAATTCGGGAGCGTCGGGAATTAAGAATTCAAAGTTGCGGTAAATTGTGAAAATGGCTAAAACCGCGTTTCGCCTCACGTAAGAATGTCTATGCTCTAAACAAGCCCTAATTGCGGGCATTAAAGGTTCTAACAATTCGGGTTCTTTTAATTTACATAAAAATCTTAAAGTGGAGCCGCGTAAAAATTCGTTTGGGTGTTGCAAATCTTTACGGTACGCGTCGCAAACTAAAATCATTTCTTGTAATAATTTCCCATCTGCTGTCGTTTTGGGGACTATCTCCCAAAAAATAAGTAATAATTTCTTTATTGTGTGATCTTGTAATGGTAAAACAAAACGAATTATCGTCATTAAAACCCCTGGTAGTCTTTCGCCGGCTAAGATCATGTTGATTGTTTTCTTCAACGCCTCGATCTTCTGTTTAATATCGCCTTTCTCTAAATCTTGCTTTAATTGCATTTCATTGTATGGCTCCGTGTCCGTGGGCACGTTTATTAACGTGTAGCAAGGCTGCTCTACCGCAGTCATTGTAATTTCGGTTTAACTGCACAAAATACAAAAAGGTATTAGTGAGGTTATGTTGTCAACTCGAATTATTTTAATAAGCGAGTTATTTAGATAATAACTAAATTAAGTGGGGTTAAAATGAATATTACCTTTCTCAGAAGTTGATTTAAGTTATTTTATTTGATATCAATTTGAAAAACACTGATTTTACTACGTGTCATAGAAATAACACAGCCGATGTGGCTATATGTCAAAAAGCAGTGGTGCCAATATAATTATTTTAAAAGTTTTTATATATTAATAAATATTATTTTTTGTAATTATAGATTAAATAAATAATTCATAACTAATTGAATAATATATATATAAAAAAGTATTAAGTAATCCATTGAGTAAACATGCTGTATAAAGTTATCCAAAGGCTGTGATGTCATTGGTAGAATTGACATTTCTATATTTTTATTTATACAGTGTATTTCACTTAAAAAGCAATACACAAAAATATAAAGATATTAAAGAAAAATGCGAGATAATATTATTTTAAGGTTGACTCGATTACAGCCCCAGGGATCTTTATGTATGTCGAAATCCCACCGTAAGATGGCATTAACATCTATACTGAAACAATGTAATTAAACTAACAATTTTATTATTAATAATAGGAATAACAAGAGACAGCAATAACAATTATTACCAGTATCATTCTTTTAATTTAAAAAGTATAGATTCCAATTCGTGTTATATTTTTAAATTTACCGCTAACTTCAACTTTTAAAATTATAAAGTTGAAGTTTGTTCAGAATGACAGATGAAAACGTCATTTTAAAGTATTTTTTCGGTAGGAGTATAAGAAAGTAATAATGGTATGATGAAATAATTAGATTATAATTGACATTATAGCTTTCTTTCAGCTAACATTATAAGTTGTTGGAAGCTCGTCAGATGCAATCTCACATGTCATATGATGCAGTGATATTCAAATGTAATGTAATTACATCTGAGGAATTCCCAACCAGTCGGAACGTTAATTGGAGCCACCCTTAGTGGCTCCAAACACTTTCCAAACAGTTATTCTGTGGTTGGAGCTTTTATATATAAACCCAATCCAACCTGAATTCTAGTGGTTCGGTTCTTAGCTGAATAATTCCAAAATATACCCAACAGATGGCGCCACATGCGTTCAATTTTTACCATGGTTGCTCGGTTACCATGGTGATTAAGATCGAAACATTGCACGTGCTTGTCAAAATTGAAATTGAATATAAGTTTTTTTTAAGGAAAAAGTCTTATTTAATTGGTTTAAAAGGCTGTATTTAACTCAAAATTGCTTTATCTAGGGTATTATAAACAAGGTAAGTGAATTAAATCAAAAAAAGATATTTTTAATTTATTTTTCTTAATTAGAATCGATTTAAATTAACTACAATTAACGAATTTGTTATGAATGCGAGATAATCGTAAAGAATTCGAATTGNATAAGTGAAAACGTACTTTTTCTCCAAACTTTCAACCCCTATAACTCGCCCCAGGGGCTTTTACCGCACGTATAAAAAAATGTGCGAACCTTATTTTGGCCCATTCTATGACTGTACCAAATTGCATCGAAATCGGTGAGACACAGTTGTGACACTTCCCTTGTTAGAGCAATGTTTATAAATAATTTGTAGAGAATTATAATAATAACTTTTATCAAAGTCAACCTATTTTTCTACTTACAATTAAACGGTGTAATAAAAACTATAGTATTCCATTTAAAATAATGAAGTTATGACCTACTTCCGGTAGACCGGAAGTGGGGGCCATCTTGAAAATATTTTAGATCGAAAGGTCCGAATGAACAACCCATGCTACCAAACTTTCAAACCTCTACAAATAGTGGAACCTGAAAAAGTTCTAACGAACCAGTTACGTGACATTTTAAATTTGAAGTTAGTTATCATATAATAGACAAATGGACAACTTCATGGTGTTCTTTCATGAAGTATTCTTTATGAAAAAACCTTTAAAATTAGCAACATAATTTTTAAATATTAATATCAACCTTAATTCTTCACTTTTTTATTGTATTTTTGTGATAAATTTTAAGACATTTTATAAAAATTAAGAATTTGTCAAAATGACATTGACATTTCAAACCGGAAGTTGCTTATATCTCGACTACTATTGGAATTAAACGTATTATGTTTGGGCTCAAATTAAAAGNAGATTTTAAAAAAAATGCGAGATAATATTATTTTAAGGTTGACTCGATTACAGCCCCAGGGATCTTTATGTATGTCGAAATCCCACCGTAAGATGGCATTAGTATCTATACTGAAATAATATAAATAAAGTAATTAAACTAACAATTTTATTATTAATAATAGGAATGATAAGAGACAGCAATAACAATTATTACCAGTATCATTCTTTTAATTTAAAAAGTATAGATTCCAATTCGTGTTATATTTTTAAATTTGCCGCTAACTTCAACTTTTAAAATTATAAAGTTGAAGTTTGTTCAGAATGACAGATGAAAACGTCATTTTAAAGTATTTTTTCAGTAGGAGTATAAGAAAGTAATAATGGTATGATTAAATAATTAGATTATAATTGACATAGCTTTCTTTCGGCTAACGTTATAAGTTGTTGGAAGCTCGTCAGATGCAATCTCACATGTCATATGATGCAGTGATATTCAAATGTAATGTAATTGCATCTGAGGAATTCCCAACCAGTCGGAACGTTAATTGGAGCCACCCTTAATGGCTCCAAACTTTGCAAACAGTTATTCTGTGGTTGGAGCTTTTATATATAAACCCAATCCAACCTGAATTCTAGTGGTTCGGTTCTTAGCTGAATAATTCCAAAATATCCCCAACAGATGGCGCCACATGCGCTCAATTTTTACCATGGTTGCTCGGTTACCATGGTGATTAAGATCCAAACATTGCAGGTGCTTGTCAAAGTTGAAATTGAAAATAAGTTTTTTGTAAGGAAAAAGTCTTATTTAATTGGTTTAAAAGGCTGTATTTAACTCAAAATTGGTTTATCGAGGGTATTATAAACAAGGTAAGTGAATTAAAAAAATAAAAGATATTTTAATTTATTTCTCTTAATTAGAATCGATTTAAATTAACTAGAATTAACGAATTTGTTATGAATGCGAGATAATCGTAAAGAATTCGAATTGTTTTAAAATTAATAAAAATTAGGTTAGAATTGATAAAAAAATCGTAATAAAATTTTATTATTTTAAGGTTATCCAACTTGACTCGGTTACCATGGTGATTAAGATCCAAATATTGCAGTTGCTTGTCAAAATTGACGTTGAATTTAAGT